GTGACTGTGGTGGAAGATGAGGGGCTTCGATCGTGGGTGTGGTACGCCCGTCAGAAGAGGTGTGAACCCGCTTCCCGGAATCGTACACGGTATTATTGTAAACCAATATCACCTCAAAACAGAGTATGATACAATACGATCAAGCAAGCAAGCAAGCAAGCAAGCAACCCTTTGCCAAAAAGATATAATTTGGGGTGGCAGGTTTTTGCTCCCCTACACTTAGGAATATGATTCATCACATGGCATCCAGTTGGAGGTTATTCTTACCACTATCTTTCCTCAGAAAGCAATTTTTATTACCACTAACGCCACAGCAGGCTGGGAGAGGTCCGCGGCGAGGGCTTGGACCGGTCAGGGTGGGTGTGCGATTCTCCCCTTCCACAGGTGAGGAAACTGAGGTGCATGGAGCCTGAAAGTCTTTGCAGGATCACACAGCTGGGAAGCTGGTGGCAGGTGGGGTGGGGAGAGGCAGAGCACGGTGGGAGAGGTCAGGGAGGGAGGGGCGGGCCAGGGTGGCCGGGACAGGGGAGGCCTGTCCTGGTGCCCAGGGGAGGCCGCCCCGGTGTCCTGGCAAGAGGCTGCTGCAGGCTGACAGCGGCGGAGTCGGAGAAAAAGGACTCCAGTCTGCTTCCCCTGGCTAGGGAGAGGTGGCTGTGTTGCTTTTGAGGGGAGAGGGGTCTGAGGGGAACAAAACAAGAATGAGTTCAGGTCAGCGGAGTGCTCGCTTTCTGCTGGATCTTGGTGTAACTCGAATCGGGGTTCAGAGCTACAACAGCACTGACCCCCTGACCTCTGACTGAGCATCTCTCCAGGACCAGGCCGCTTCTCCCCACGCCCCATGGCTGACTCTGCCTGGACCAAGTCACATCCAGGATGGCAAAGAGTCTCCTGGGCCAGAGCTCTGACATGCAACTCGTCAACTCAGGCGTCGTGTCATTTAACGCGGTGAAGCGGGCAGGGGTCTTCCAAGCCTGTGCTTGCAAGATAAGCAGAAACGGGAAAGACCACCAGGCCAGCATGTTTTAAAAAGTCTAAGGGCTGCAATCCAGAAGGTGACGCTAATCCAGAAGGTGTCCCAGAGGGACACCACCCGCACTGCCGCTGTCCTCAGTGGAAGGGGCCGAGCTCAGGACCCAACCTGACCTCCCAGGTTCAGCAGCAGCCTCCTCCCTGGAAGATCACAGAATACTCCGTGAGTCACACTCGCTTCCACATAATGTCCACTCAATAGATTATTTTGATGGAAACATCACAAATCCATTTTGTGAAAAGCCAATCATATTTGCACCCAAGAATTCAATAACAGGACATGAAACTCAGGGAAAGAAATAATCAAATTGTCCATCCAGAGTGGAGTTAAAATTGTCATAAACATTGATCCTTCATTGCAGGCAACAGAAATAATAAACAGTTGCTGAAATTGCATAGCTGCAGAGATTTCATTCTCTAATTGTCAAAAAGCATTAAACATCAACTATTTATTTTGCAGCGGCGGAAGCGAAAACAGACTCCAGTCACCCGTTCACCAGAGGTCGGCCCTAATTGTCATGCACAGACTGCAGCAGAGGTCACGGAGGAAAATTGTTTGCATTTATTAATCAAAAGGAGTCAAAGGCACAGCAGATATCATCACGGCTCCCTTGTGCTGGGGGCTGACGAAGAACATTCCTGATGAAGTGTTTGCAGAGTGTGGGATGTGCTCAGACCATTTTTCCTCGCAGGTGCAAACCTTTCTCTGGGAAACAGCAGAGAAACAATCGAAAATTTAGCACAGTAAACATCGCCATCCAGGTTCAATCTTCCATTCTGGAAGACAATGGGAGAGGGAGACTTGACCGCAAAGCAGTATCTGTGTGCTGTGAAGCCTGAGCGTACACGTTTGCCTCTCATTAGTGGCTAGTAAGCCTGTTGCTTCTCTCTCCTCTCTTTGCCCCTTTGTTTTTTAAAAAATGAGAAAGTCGAGCCACCCCTGAGATGTCTCTTACTCCTGAGCACCCCGGCAGAGATCACTGTCTTGCCCTGCCGGTCTGATCCGTGGAATCCCTCCACGGGCTTGGGCAACGTCAGGCAACAGCGTGAATTGAGGCCACGAGATGTCCTTTCTGTGTGACAATTTCAGAAGCGAGTATGTGTCTGCGTTGCTGCTGTGCTCTAGTGTGTTTTCTGTTTGCCGGCGCCTGCTAATAGGCTGATTTTCTTTAATTGCGTCTTCCCACCCCCTCCATTGAGTTTTCAGCTCATCTCTCCTCAAGAAAGATGAAATGACCACACCACAGGCAGGTGGCATCCGACTCGGCATCTGAATGTTGCGCGCGTGTTTTGTGTATTTGGCTCTTAACCCAGTTTCTGCCTTTTGGACATTCTGTTCAACCGCTGACATTTCCCGCATCATTTGAATTAGATACTCATAACTCTCCCCCTTAACATCTATTAATTTTATACATTCAGGGCGGGAGATTGGCTTTCTCAAGCAGCCTGCAAGGTCAGTCACTTTCATAAAAATATAACCTTTGATGGGGCTTCATAAAAGCCCATAGATTCTGTAAATAAGAATAATGCTTAAGATTTTGATGATGTAACTTATGAAGCCATACCAAACTCATTAATTTCATTGTCAAGTATAATATGTGTAATTATTTTATTTGTATTTAAGATCCTTTGTTTGTGGAGTGCCGGTGGGCAAGGAATGAACACTAGAGACAACTCGGCCTCAGTCTTGGCTAGTCCCAGCCTCTCTCTCCTCCCGGGAGAGCTGGACGGTGTTGGCAGGCAGATGGAGGGGTACCCCAGGAGCCCCCAAAACTCAGCATGGTAAACCCAATCGGCTTTTAGTCTTGGTTGGCTACAGCCCCCTTTCTCCTGCCAGGAGTGCTGACTTGTGCTGGCAGGCAGATGGGGGCACACCAGAACCCCCAAACTTGCATGTTATAATGGGGTCCAGCCACCCATGCACACAAAGGCAAAACGAATTTAGCTTCTTGGGCGGGGTCATCCCTGCTCACCTGCCTGGCGCCCGGCCACCCCTACCCTGGCCGCAGGAGCTGACGCCCTCACGGACAGCTGTGCTGTCCTCGCCGTCGGAAGTTCACCAGCTTCAGACTGGCAGCCTCTTTCAAACTGCAGGTGCTGAAGAACACCCCAAGTCCCCCAGCAGTTTAATGTCCTGGAGGCTGCATTTCCATGCTGGAGAGGGCAGGAGGCGGGTTCCCAGCTGCTGGTTGCTCTCCGGAGGCTCAGGTGGGAAGGGCAGCCCACCCCAGGAGGCTCCCAGACCTCAGGGCTTGGGGCGTCGTGGCCAGTGTCGAAGGCTACGTCAGGCTGCCGTCTATTTGCGAGGCCTATAATCTCTTTCAGCCTCCCTTCAGAGAGACTTGTTCCACCAGATGTGGAGTTAGAGCGTCTTCAGCAGAAACCCTGCATTTCTCTTCTGCGCACCCGAGGCCTCGTACTGACCTGGAGACTCCATCTGCCACGGGGCACGGTGCCGGCAGCTCACACTGTAGAGCACCCCCAAATTTCACGTGCCGATAGAGAGTGGAAAGCCATCCAGTTCTGGAGAGATTAAAATGCCTCTTCGGGTCAACTGAAAGAACACACGAGTTTCCTTTGCCTGTTTCATGATTTTGAGTTGACTTGAGTCTAACTCCTTTGATCTAAGCAGGAGACGCCTGTCCACACATTATCACCGCTAGCACCTACTGGTGACCAACCCTGAGCTAATTAGGGCCGTGTTCTCAGTGGGACAGCGACCCCAACCCAGAGGTCCGTTCACTGACACAAATCGATGGGGCTGGCGTGTCTCTATCCGGTGTGGCTCCAGGGAATGGGGCCGTCTCTGTCTTCCTGGGCACAGGGCTTGGCATGTGACACAGACAGGAACGACAATTACCTTCGGGAGTGAACCCCCTCCCCTGGCCCTTGAGAGGGTGTGAACTGTCCACTGCTGTTCAAAATGCTTATGTTTTCAAACTGCTCTAGAAAAGAAAGGCACGGAAGAGACAGAATGAGTTGCAGTGGCCCACGGAGCGGCCAGTCCCTCACCTGCACAGGCTGAAGGCAGGACGTGCCTCCTTCCTGCTGCTGAGCCCACATGGTTTCCTGTCTCCACTGTGCTCATGCAGCCTCCAGCTTCTGGGGCGGAAAGGGAACCCCGAGCTGCTGTGTGGAGGTGGAGCCTTGGGAGGCCAGGGCAGGAGGCCAGAGCCGTCCTGGTAAAAAGGGGCTCCCTCTGCCCATCCACCCAGGGAGGACCCGGGAAGGTGCCCCGAAGGTGAGGACACGCCCCCTCACCGCTGCCGCCTGGGCCTTGGGCGCCAGCTTCCAGAAGGTGAGAAATCAGGTTCTGTGTTACAGCTCCTCAGGCTCTGGGACGCTCTCAAAGCAGCCCAGATCCTTCCAGATCCTTCTGGAATGAGGACCCAACAGAGGGGGTTTCAGACGCGCTGGCTACACATCTCATCCTTGGTTGACTCATCACAAGGTTCGGACTAAGTAGCCTTGTCCCTCAGGCTCATGAGCAAGGACAGTCACCCGAGTGGCCAGTTACACGCTTCTAGATCTTACACTTCACGTCACAGGTCGAGGTGACCTTGCACCTACAAAGCATCAGAACCCCACGCCAAAGGCGGTGTAAACCCAGTTCTACTATGCATGAGAGTCTTTAATCGAAGCATCAGCCCCCTTCATCAAATCCCACGGAGGCTGCGTGTGTGGTTACTTCAACTCCCACTTGTTCCTTCTGGATGTATCTTTAGAATACAATTATTCTTCTTCTCATCAAGAAACAAGTCGGTCACCATTAGACACTGAAATATGCAGTCGGAGGGAAAAAAGGAAAACACCCGCCTCGTCCAGTTTCGCGGGTTTTTCTCACGCTCTTTCCTGTTTTCCTCATTTCCCCCCATAGCTCAGATGTTAGTGTGTAGACAAGTTGGCATCTCAGTGAACGTGCCAGGCGCGCTTTTCCTCTTGGTCTCTCCTTTGTAGAGCGCCTGGCGTACCTCGCCACAGCCCACCACTGATGCTCCTGGTTCCCATGGTCTTGTCCTCCGAGGACTCACCCGCCATCCTTGCACACGAAGGCGTCTTACATAAATATTTTAAATTTGTGATCTGTGCACGTGACATGGGGTTTCAAAGCATCGGGGATTTCAGGGTTTCGGGACCACAGGTGCTGTTGGGGGCCCCCCAAGTCACTAACTGCAGGCTGAGGCAGCGGGACAGTCCCGCGGCCCACTGGCCCAGTCCAGGCCGGCAGGACCCCCACGCGGTGTCCCACAAGTTGAGGACAGGAATGGTGACCCCGTCCTTGACCTCAGGTGTGCCTATGTACCCGCTGGGAGGGCAACACGGCCCGCCTCCCTCCTGGGCTGGTTTCTGAGAGGCGCCTGCTCCCCCTGCTCTGTGGCCTGGGGCCTGGCCTCTGGAGACTGCACTCCTGGGCCCCTTGCACCAGCTGGGGCAGGACTCGGGAGCAGCGGGACTATCTTGCCGGCCTTTCGCCTTTCTGCCGTCTGGTACATTCTGTGGCTACTGCTGCAGGTGGGGGCACTTGCTGGGACCTGGTGGCACCGTTTCTCCCTCCGAACCCCAGATCTAGGGGCAGGAAGGGCCTTTTGCTGCAGCTGGTCTCTGCTGCTTTCCCACAGCCTGTTGCCTTCCTTGCGCCGCCCCTTGGAGCTGCGCTGTCACTGCAACGGCACTTTCCCGTGGGGGCCCCCCCACCGCCCACTGGCTCACCTGTGTGCACCCCCCCGCCCACTGGCTCACCACTGGCTCACCTGTGTGCCCCCCTAACTGGCTCACGCCCCCCCCCACGTGGCCTGGCTCATCTCGCTGCCCCGCCCGCCTTCCCACCTGGCCAAGCACCGAGCCCTCGGCCTCCCTCGGCCTGCGCCCAGGCAGCGGCACTCTGAGCCGCAGCCCCAGAGTCAGCCGCCCGCTGACCCCGGCCTTCCTCGGCATCACCTTCCCTGGTCTCCATGTCAGCATCTCCCACTTTCCTGCGTCCCATCCCGTCAGCACTCCCGCCCGCCCACGGCCTTCCGCCTTCTGGCCAGCAGGGTGCCCTTCTCTGCCTGACGCACATCCGCTCAGACCGCTCCTCCTCACCGAGAAGCCCTCACCTCCTGTTCCCAATCGGGGACCCCACCCCCGGGGCTCCCCCTCTGCCATCAGAAGTGCCCTTGCCTCTGTGGACAGCAGCTGTGCTTGAGTCCTGCGGCCCTGCTTGCGCCCTCCACGAGCCTCCAGCAGGTTCTGGTCTCTCCAGGTGACCACCGCCCGGAGGCCAGGCCTTCTCCCGGCAGGCGCCTGCTCCCTCCCACCTGTTCTCACCTCAGCCAGCTCTCCGCCAGGGCCCTCCCCCCACCCTCGCACCACCAGGACCCTCCACACTCCCCTCACTAGGTTCTTTCTGATGGGGTTGGGGGGCTCCCCAGAGAGAGGACGGTGCAGGCGCGGGAGCAAGGGACAGAGGGCAGGTGTGTGAGGCTTCAGCTGCCCCCTGGGGGGCCGGTCCCTTCCGAGGACCTCTCCGCAGGCGGTTCCTGAGGGGGCTCCTGCACCCGCTCAGGGCTGGGGGACCCCCAAGGGAGGCTGCAGCAGAGGTGCGGCCGGCGAGGGAAAGCTTGCCCACACCCGGCTGCGAGCTGTTACCCCAATCTCTGGCTCCCCGGGGCGGCCTGTGGCATTGCCTCCTCAGGGCTCTGCCGTCCAGCTCAGTCCAAGGGGCTCTGCTGAGGTCCTGTCCCTGGGCGGCACCAGCCTGTGGGGCCCCAGGCCGGGTTTGGGGACTGGGAGCACTGTAATCCAATTACCGCCTCAGGTCCTTACCGTGCTGTGAGATCCAAAAAGGCCTTTTAAATTGCCATGTTTAAAATGGAAAGACGAAAACAGAGATATTTTATTAAATATTTGTCTCATTAATAAGCGCACGATGATCACCGCCTTATATTTTGAATTAACTTTTCCATTTGGGTTCAGCGCGCGTTTGATGGGCACGTTCCTGCTCTTGACACGGGGACTTAATTACACGATGGGCTCGAGGGAAATGAAGCAAAGGGAATCGCTCCCCTCCCCCAGGGCTGTGCCAGGAGGAAGCGCAAGTGGAGCTGACAGCGCTGCTGCCCAGGGATGTTTTGGGATGAAGTTGGGGGTTACGTGCACTTATACAAGAGTCCATTTCCATGACCATTCATGCTCAAGGACTTACTTTAAAAAGTAGAATGAAGACCTGGCACAGATGGGCAGCACCGTCCATCGCGGCCCGCGGGCCTCAGGCTGCTCCCGGTGGGCACCGGCATCGAGCCCCGGCGGGGCAGGCGAGCTCAGCCCTTGCAGCCTGCCGGAGACGGCGGCAGGCTGTGATCTCGGAGGCCTTTTCCAGCCCGGAACAGCTACTGCCCCTGCCCGGGTCACTCTCTCTCCCCCACTCTGACCAGACACCCCCGAGCGACAGAGGCGCGTGTGTGGTGCCTGGCACCTTGGTTCGGCGCCCGGG